GGTGGCGCGGAGCCCCCGAGCGGGGCCGCGGGAACCGGAGAGCAAATACGCCGCTGCCGCGCTCGTTGTCCGTCACTGCGCCGCCTCTGCATCCCGGGAGATGCTGCGGAGTAGGGCGGGATTGTGGGGATAATGTGTAGCTGGTTTATAGTGCTGTCACTGATTACACGTTATTCTCTTTAGTTAAACCGTAAACATGAAGAAATTAAAGCTTAAAGAACTGGAAAGCTGTCTTCAACAAGTTGATACTTTTGAAAGCCCAAAACTACTCCTTGAACAGTACCCAACGAGACCTCATATTGCAGGTAGAGATGACCCACAGCATTGTTGTATCTCTTACTAGTACTTTTCATTTCAAAAGTTTTTTCCACTTTACACTAAAAGTAGGTAAGAAATTGTATCCAACAGGAATGTAATTATTTAGAAGTATACTGTTAATGTACAGTCAAATAGATTGATTTAAAAGATCATGTTGTGATAGAAGCATCTGAACCTGTAAATGTGAAAGCTGACATGGACTTGTTTCATGACCTGCAAACCCAGTAAAAGTGTATATACAGACACTCATCCATACCTTATTGACAATTCTTTCAATATTTTATATCCTTCTATCTTTTTACCCCAAACAAACTTAGAGGCATACTCACTCCACAAACATGTCACAGCTCAATGTGTAATCTGTCCACCAAAGATCCAGAGTCCTATAACTCATCAAAATACTTCGACTCTTCACATATAAATCCAAAAGAGAGGTACAGGCAGCAAGAAGATCAGCTTCATTTTGCATTACAAGAAACCTTTAGTTAAGAGCAGATGTGGCTTTTTGTGATTATTCAGGTGCATATGTGACATTATTGACCTGTGTTGTTTGGCTCTCCCCCCAGCATGTATGCTCTACACAATTCACAATACTTTTGATGATATTGAAAACAAAACAGTCGCAGATTTAGGATGTGGTTGTGGCATGCTCAGCATTGGAAGTGCAATGTTAGGAGCAGGGTAAGTATTTGGTTTGGTTATATTTTTTCCTGGCATGGAAGAGTAGAAAGTAAGATTAAAACGTAGCAGTGGTGAACTAAACTCATTTTTGGTATATAATCTGGTGCATAATCAGGCTCTTGAATAAGTTTTTACCATCAGTAACCATTCATACCCTGACAGTGATGGACAGTTGCCATGAACTTGGAACTCAATATTTGCTTTTCCCTGAGGCACTAAATGAACACATGAAACTTTCTTCCCACAATTTAAAATTATATTTGAGAAAGGGCAACAGCACTACTTGCGTTTTTATTAGCACTGAATTTGTAATGTATGCTTGTTACATTTCCTAAGTAAAATGAGTCGTGTACACAGATCCCTTTCAAAGCTTCACTGTAGGATTTAAGCACCATTTTAGTTTGCAGGAGACTAATATGTGATGCTTTGTTTTAATAGGTTCTGTGTGGGGTTTGACGTAGATGCAGATGCACTGGAAATATTTAATAGCAATATTGAGGACTTTGAGCTCACGAATATCGACCTGGTTCAGTGTGATATCTGTTCTTTGCCTGACAGCATGTCAGACACTTTTGACACAGTGATTATGAACCCTCCGTTTGGTACCAAGCATAATAAAGGTTGGTGATTCTGAAAATCAGTTAGATATTCCTAGCAACAAAATAGCAAGGGAAACACTTAATGAAATATCTCCCTTCTTTATTAGATTTACCTATTCTGATTACCGGGAGTGTTGTTGATCTGGAATCAGCTTCCTAAGCACCTATTAACAACTTCAACATTGTGGCTAACAATCACTGAATTTGAAATAAACAATACTAGCTATTTTCTATCTCTGTCATTTTTCTTTTACTAAAAGCAATTGGATGAGTTTTAGAAATATTGTCTGTACCTTAATGCTTTCTCTGCTGTTTCTCAAATAGCTGTTATTCCAGAAAACAAAATGAAGCAGATCTTTAAGCTTCCATTTACCATTTCTAATAATGTTATCATTCTTTTAGGAATTGATATGATTTTTCTGAAAACTGCCCTACAAATGGCAAAAACAACTGTATACTCCCTTCACAAAACTTCAACACGACAGGTAAGTCCTTCATTTTAGTAGGTCAAGCATTAACCAGGCAACAAAACAGATGGCATTTAGTGATGATGTCTACAGCTTCACTGATCTGTCCACACCTTTACAGGGTATGGGACTTGTTTGGAGTAACTGCCATCTCACATACATCAAGATATGTGACCTAATGCTTCAGCTTGAAAAACAAAAGCACGGGAGACTTCTTAAGTACTGGGGAGATTTTTATAGGACAGTGTAGAAATGAACTTTTAAATTGACCTTTATCTATTTCACATTGTAGCACATTCAGAAGAAAGCAGATGAATGGGAAGTGAAGATGGAAGTCATAGCAGGTAATATTAATTTGTTGTTGACAGGAAAAAACACCTAAGCAAAACCATTTTGTTGGGGCTAATATCTATAACACTACTAGCCAGTCTTAACAGCCTGAGGTAATGTTAAGTGTGATTTAACACTGAAACGACACAGATCTTTGCTTTTTTTCTTTAATATCTTGATGTCTGGCTAGAATACAAGTAGGCACTTAATAAAGCTCTGAGGAATATGTGTCCTGTGCAGAAAGAGAATTGGGTTTCTTTCTGGACTAGATTTTGTTTTCAGGCAAATCTCCTTCAAAAGGAGATTGTTGCTGCAAAACAGAAGCATCCTGTCCTTAGAGTTACCCAAATATTTCTGACAGTTTTTCAAGTATCTTCCCAATTCTTAAATATCACTAGCTGAATACTTTATACAGCCATTCAGCTCGACACCTGAAGTTGCACAAGTACTTGAAATGCAACTGCCTTTCAGCCACCCACTTCCTGTCTGATGTGCACAGCTTAGATGTGCAGTCATGATTTAGTCCAGAGGTCAAAAGACTTATCCTGACAGGCCACAACAGAGGTGGGCACTGGAAGAAATAGAAGTACATGGGTGTAGGGTTTAAGTCAAGTGACCAATAATCATCCTAGTCTAACAGGTTGTTACAGTGCATCCCAAAGGTGAGGGTAACTGAGTTCTTGTTAATAGAGCCTTGGGAAGGATGTCAAGTGAAATGACACTGAATGACCAGTGTTTATACCTATATATGGCAGGTTTATTGTAGAGCAATTTGGTTGCAACAGAAAGGAGCTATGTAGCTGTTTTGGTTATTATTTGTAGAGATATGGCAATATAAAAGTATAAAAATAACAAGAAAATAACAGAAAGAAATGTTGGGGAAGGTGAAGGTTCCGCATGGGGAAGCAAGCGGCCGACTCCGTGTGGGTGATACAGTAAGCTCCATCTTTATTGTCCGACAGGCTCTTTTTTTATACAGTGCAGGAGCAGGCATACAATTATCAATCATTTCTAATTGGCTAGGCTCTAAAGATAGCATTCAGGTACTCTCCCTACTCACAGCTGCAGCTGTGAGGCTTATCTCCTGCTTTCCCAGGCTTGGGTGCATTCCTAGCTGTTTTTCTCGAACCTGTTTGTTTCACCCTCAAGGACGACTTACCCCTGCCATCTGCCATCTGCCCAGCTGAGTTACTCCCTATCTATATATAAGCTACTATCTCCAGAGCCTTGCTTGTACACACTGCATTCCCAGTTGC